AGGAAGGGAGTGCAGCAAAGGTGGAAACAGTGGGGGCTACAAATCGATGTTTAGAAATCATTGACCCCCATCGTCGCAATACTAACAACCCCCATCGGCGCACGAGACGACACCTGCTCAGTCATGTGTGCTCCGTTTCGGAGCTGCTGGAATCACATGCCGTATTCAAAAACGCTGCCCTATCAAACTCGTCTTCGTCTGCATACGCAAGAACTGCAGATGAGCGCCATTCGCCAGATTGCATCACCTGGAAAAGTGAATGGCCTTGTCGAGCTAAAGTGGCAGCCTTTCCAGCTCTCAAACACTTAAAAGAAAAAGCTTGGTAGTCAGGGACTTGTAAATGTTTGAGCATGCTGCGAAACTTGGTAAGCGCCACAGAACTGGTGAAATTAAAAACCTTCTGACCCTCAGCCATGTTCACAACCCGTGTTTGCAGCCGATGGCCGACACACATGGCATTCCTTTGGCTTGGGGTACAAACACACGGGCGAATCAACAGAGAACCCTGTGGCCTATGCTTACGTTGTCGCAACCTCAAATTCAAAGTCCCCTCTTGATCAATGAAAAGTGACGAATGCCTGTTAGGTGGCAAAACATGCACTGTTTCATAAGAACCATATTCAAGCGGAATAGCTTCGCTTTGAACCCGCAGGAGCGCTCGCCAGCCAAGGAGCAAGAGGTCACCTAACAGTAAGAACAAACTAATTCCATCAGCCAAGATCAAAAGACGCAAGAGCAACTCTTCAGACATTAACCTGCGGCGTGATAGTGCGCCAGCTCTGGCTGACTGGTACTGCTTGTTCAATCCCTGCAAGGTCATGCTCAGCTCACTGCCATGCCACGTCAGAGGCAACGCCAAATATAGGCAGGCCCACTTGACATGTCCGACATAATTTCGGGCAGTTCCAGGGTTGCGAAAAATTGAAACAAAAAGACACACGTCAGTCTCGCTTTTCGGTGGCAAAGAAGCATGTTCACTGTATCCCAGCAACGTGGTGGCAAAAACATGCCAGAGGCGTAGGCCAGATGCTACACTCCTTAAGGACCCTTTGCGAGTTTGAAGTTTGAGACTTGCGACACCAGCATGGAGGTGCTCACGCGCTTCTTCTTTGGGCAACCGCGCCAGGCTCTTACACATCAGCAGAGGGCCTCCTTGAGACACTGGCACAGGCTCATCTATTTGAAGAGAGACCAAATTTTGAGCCACTACCTTCCCAGAAACTTGAGAGGGGGACTGACACTCCGCCTGCGTGGGCTGCTTGGCCACGTTGAGAGCTTCCACCGCTGACATCATCAGCGCCCGTAGCTTGGGGCTGGTTGAAAGTTTGCTCACGTCTTGTGAACGTACTCCAACTAGGTGACTGGGGTCTTGAAAGCCATGAGCCACCAGTAACAAAGCTGCCTCAAAGTGCCATGAGCAAACGGATGATGACCCTTCATGACGGTGAAAGAAATGTTGCATGTTCTCAACTGCAGCTTCAAAAGTTGCAGCTTTGAGACCAGCAAATGGGTGCACCACCTTGTCGTTGTTGTGAGCGCGCTTCTTGCTGAGGCTTTGCCAGGAAGCGAGCAAATTCTGCCGCTTGCTGTGCCATTGTTCAGACAAGGAGCCCCACACTCTGTCTGTGTTCAACACAAAGCCAGCACCACTAGCAGTCAGAATAGCCCCATCA